TCTTCTCTACTCTGCGGCCGTCTTTTCTTTTGACCTCCGGCCTGGGCGCCTTGCGGTGTTGCCTCTGGTCTTTCCCACTCCAGCGGCCATTGATCACTACTCCCTGCTCCTCCACTGCAGCCAATATGCGGCCCCTCCTAAATCGCGAACATCACCTGTGGCTTCCGTTCAGCTCCTTTTTTCTGCCCTTACACGCTTATTCTCTTGGCTCGCGCATCTTAATACATCTTGGAGCAGAGCCAGCTGGGAGCTTTAACTGCCACCTCATTGCCCTACTTCTGCAGCCGGTTCGACAAATTTTTGACCGCACATGCTCCACACATGACTCAAGTGTACTGCATTGCGCCTCCACATCCGATCATTGCACGCGCCTTTTTTCTCCACAGACCGCATCGAAGTCAGCGAGCAAAACCCAGCGTGTTTTGAGTTGAGGTCACTGGCCCACCGCCCCCTTTCTCTCTTCCTGTACTCGTTGAGGTCGGGAAAGAGGTAGCAGCCCGCCGGGAAGACGAAGCCATTTTTTCTGGCAACAGAGTGTTAAAGAGAGTGGACAGAGTATCTCTACAGCAAACACCTTCTCAGCGAGAAACGAAGAGTTTTCAGAGGATTTCGCCAATGTTTCGTCTTCGCCTCTGCCTCAGCTCTGTCTTGGTTAAATAGCCGAGCAGCCACGCGCGCATCGCGCGCCTCTTCTCGCGACAAACAATGGCGAAATCCTACTGAAAAAACTCTTCGTTTTCTGAGAGGTTTTGGCTGAGAGATTACTCGTAACACTCTCGATAACACTCTGTTGCCCAGAAAAAAATGCTCGTCTTCCCGCGGCGCTTTACCCTCTTTCCCACCTCAACGAGTCCACTAGGAAGAAACGGGGGGCGCTGTGGCCAGGAACCTCAACCCAACACCGCGGGTTTGCTCCGCGAACTTCTATGCGGTCTGTGGAGCAAAAATGGACGTTCAGTCGGATGTGGAGGCCAATCAGTACACTTGAAAGTCATGTGTGAGACCATGACTCGTCACAAATTTGTCTAACCTGGCCTCTCAGAGTAGGGGCAAATGATGTGCAGCTGTTTTAAACTCCCAGCTGGCTCTGCTTCCAACGCATGTATAATGATGCAGCGAGCAAGATAAGCTGTTATAGGCAGAAAAAAGGAGCTGAAGCGGAGGCCACCGTGAGTTCCGATTTGAGGCCCAATGCTCTATGGAAAGCGGAAGTTTGATCGATCCCACGTGGAGGGAAACACAGAGCAACACCTGCAAGGGCCGCCAGACGGAGCAAAAAGAAAAGACCGCACCCAAGGTTAGAGAAAAAATCCCCCCGGTGGATGAGGTGTTGGGTATGGTGTATTGTGTTGTTGTTGTTGTTTGTTTTTTTTTTTTTTTTTTTTTGTGATAAAATGGATCGGGGTGATGTCCCACAGGAATAAAATGAATTTGTGGCAAGTCGTCCAGTCGTCTTCGCCATGACCAGTTTTTTTTTTTTTTTTTTTTTTTTTTTCTTTTAAAGTAAAATGGAAAATAAAATAAAATAAAGAAAGTAAAATGGCTGGTACGAACGTGGTTGGTTTGTGAATTCTACGAAAAAAAACAAAAACAAAGAAATTGGTGTACTCTCGAGCCCACGAAAAAAGCAAAGAAAGAAAAAAATAGAGATGGCCTATATGGGAACTTCTTTTTAGGTTTCACATTGATGAGGACTGCCCCCTCCACTTAGCACACTAATCCTTACCAATAAAATTCTAGAGAGAGAGAGAGTGAAATAAATTTTTAGAATGAGATAAGAGAGACGCGCCATTGAATTGGCAGAGTGCTGGATCTGCCCGTGAGTTGGGTTGATGCTGTGTGTGTGAGTTTGATGAGTCTTCGGCCTAGAGAAGAGAGAGTGTTGAGGGTCTGTTCTGAGAGAAGTTAAGAGATGTTGGAGGGTGTGTGTCTTCTCCCCCTCAACCCGGTGTTCTATTGTGTTGTGCTGGCAACTGTGTTGTGTTGCAGCGGTCGAATAAATTTCTAGAGAGAGAGAGAGATGGCCATGATTGGCCAGGTTGCTGGACTGCCGTGAGTTGTTGATTTCTGCTAAAACTCGTTCGCGAGCCGAGAAAATGCAGAACCTACATGAATTCTTTTTCTGGGTATAGAGATCGTAGAACCCGGATTGGATTTTGATTGAAGGGTCGTCGTGAAAATGAGCTGGGCGTAAAAAATCTTTCAAGACCTGGATCCATTCGAGGCTGGTGCCGGTGCCACGCCACGCCACCACGATGTCTCGGCGGCCGAGGCGGTGGACCTCGGCATCGTCAGTGGCGACAGCGATGTAGCCCATCCAATTGGCGTGCTGACTCCAAACTCTGCTCATCTTCGATTTCTGGAAGAAATTCGGAAGATTGATGTTTGAGGTTGCGTATAAGTATGGGCTCATGTGGTAGCCTCGATCAGCCATGTCGAGCTTTTCAAAGAAATGGCGTCCGGGGTATTTGCATGTTCCGCAGTACTTTGAGTGAGGATCGAAGTCGAAGGAATCGTAACAGGCTTGAGCGAACTCGCCGTATCGGATGATTTCACGGCGGAGATGAGAATGCATGGGGTCTAAAAGGCCTTCCCAGTTGTTGAGTCCTTGGATTTCTCTCCAAATTTGATGAAGTGGCCTTGGATCTTCTTCCATGGAGATGGAGGTTCTGTGGTGAGGACAGAGATGGAGGTTCTGTGGTGGCGGTGTCCGGGGTATTTGCATGTTCCGCAGTACTTTGAGTGAGGATCGAAGTCGAAGGAATCGTAACAGGCTTGAGCGAACTCGCCGTATCGGATGATTTCACGGCGGAGATGAGAATGCATGGGGTCTAAAAGGCCTTCCCAGTTGTTGAGTCCTTGGATTTCTCTCCAAATTTGATGAAGTGGCCTTGGATCTTCTTCCATGGAGATGGAGGTTCTGTGGTGAGGACAGAGATGGAGGTTCTGTGGTGGCGGTGTCCGGGGTATTTGCATGTTCCGCAGTACTTTGAGTGAGGATCGAAGTCGAAGGAATCGTAACAGGCTTGAGCGAACTCGCCGTATCGGATGATTTCACGGCGGAGATGAGAATGCATGGGGTCTAAAAGGCCTTCCCAGTTGTTGAGTCCTTGGATTTCTCTCCAAATTTGATGAAGTGGCCTTGGATCTTCTTCCATGGAGATGGAGGTTCTGTGGTGAGGACAGAGATGGAGGTTCTGTGGTGGCGGTGGTGGTGGATGATTTCTTCGATCCTCGATGTGAGTCGGTGAGTGTTGGTAGCTCGGCTGTGTTTGATGGAAGTAAGCTTGGAATTGAGCCATATTCTGTGGAGGTGTTGAAAAACTCCAGCGGGCAGCGAAGGCAAGGTGGCCGGCCGGCTGCCCGCCGGAAAGAAAAGAGTATAGGCCTAAATCTTATGGCTCTGATACCATGTAAGATAAATTGATGTATTATTCTTGATTTGTGTATATTACAAGATTGATGTATTGTTTCTGTATTGTATGTGATAATTACAAAGAGAAGGAACTCTCTCTTTATAGAGAGAAGAATGAAACATTGGATACCAACAAGACCCACTATCACCGAAAGCAACAAAAGGAATAAAGCTAAAGCTATACAATTTATATACTAAAGCTAAAGCTAATTAACAATTAACAATTATATATTAACAGGATCAAAGCTTTTTTTAATTTATTTTTTTCTTCTCTTTGTGGAAATGTTTGTCTCGAGAAATCTGAAGTTCACATGGGCTTGTCTTGCATTATCATGATCTTATATCTCAATGATCTCTTGTTATTTGTTCTTGGTATATATAAATTTTGATTATAAGTTTAACAAATACAGCTATTATAGTTTATTTTATTTTAATTAAAATCCTCTTGAAAACAGGTGTATCCAGATGTGTAAAAAGCTAGCCCTTGAAGAAAGCAGGTATAAAGTTTAGATCCCTCTAGTTTGAAAGTCTCACTTTTGTGTCTAATGGTTATGAATGAGAAAGATGCCGTGGGTTTGAATATGTTATATTTGTGCTGGATGGTGGAAAATAAAATGTTAAGACTATGTTACAAAATTGTTACTAGCATATCTCTTAGATTGGCTTTTAGGCCATAACACTAACAAATACCATGAGGAAGAGGAATTCTTGCTCGAGGGAGCTAGAGCTGGTGCATGGACTGGAGGTTGAATTCATGTGGGCTTGTCTTGCATTGTCATGATCATATAGCACAATGGTTTCTTGTTGTTTGTTCTTGGTATAAATAGAATTTGATTATAAATTTAACAAATACAGCTATTATGGTTTATCTTATTTTAATGAAAACCCTCTTGAAAACAGGTATATCGAGATGCTTGAAAAGCAAGCTCTTGAAGAAAGCAGGTATAAAGTTAAGATCCCTCTTGTTTGAATTGTTCTTTAAGTCTCACTTTTGTGTCTAATGGATATGAATGGGAAAGATGCTGCTGGTTTGATTTGAATATGTTTATATTTGTGCTGGATGGTGGAAAATAAAATGATAATACTATTTTACAAAATTGTTACTAGCATATCTCTTAGATTGGCTTTTAGGCCATAGCATTAACAAATACATCTGAGGAAGAGGGATTCTTGTTTGAGGGAGCTAGAGCTGGTGCATGGACTGGAGGTTAAATTTGCTCGGGGATTTGACCTATAGTTTTGGAGGGTTTAAAATTGAGGCAAAAGCTTGGAGCTGTAACTGTGGTCCCTAGTTGCTAGTGTAAGGTCTACATCATGGTTCTAAGAATGGGTTGCAACCATTACGTAATGCTGAGTAGCCGTATGGGTGCACTATAGTGGTGTGATTGAAAATCACAGTTGTAACAGCAACTATGGTTATGTTACATTCGTAAAGGTTGTTATGGCACCATTATGCTCCTCTTTTCAGCTAATTATACATCTAAGACTATTTCTCTCTCTCTCTCTCTCCCCTTTTTTATTTATTTGTTTATTTCTTCTTCAATTGCTAAAGTCATACAAAAATCACATATAAATGTTGAAAAAAAAATTAGATCTACATGCTTTGAGCTTCCAATTTTCAAATTCTACGAGTTCAAAGTTGCTATCATGGTTAGATGAGCTTAGTTCTGACTTTTTTTTTTTATTTTATTTTTTCCTGAAACTATTTCATTTTTTTTTTCTCTCTTGATTAATTGATTATTAACTTAGATCTATTTGGCTTTAGGTTAGGTTTGTTGAACAATGCTTGGATGTCGTGTTTGTACTTTTATATTAGTACGTTGGTATATAACACTATAAATTTATATTTATGACCCTGTGGCTATTAATATCATTCATGCTTCAGATTTTTTTCATAACAATGGCAACATTATCCACATATACAATCAATAAAAATAAAGAAAGTTAAATACATTTAATAAAAAGATAATCTCAATAACAAATTAAAAATTGTGTAAAAATTAGTACATACATTACATTGTATCTAAAAACTAAATAAAATCAACTAAAAATCATTTTAAACCCTCCTAAATGTGATTTTGAAATAAAACCTGTGTAACGTTAAGTTGTTCAAAATTGTGCAATTAAGAAAAAAATTCCCAGCTCTGGTTGCTGCCACTATTACACTATTCCCCCCAATCGTGTCATCACCACCGTTACTGTTATGGCTCTCGCCACTGTTATTTAAAACATTTTTGTGCATGCACTTTGGGGTTTGTCGCAAGTCTTCAACATGTTGAAAGAATTATTTTAAATAATGTCCTTTGCAACTTAAGAATTTGTCTTCAGTAATCTGCAAAATAGGTACTGAATGGAATAATGTTTGAAGGCAATTATAGGAAGACCCATAAGAAAATGATGAGCATGCTTCTTAATGTAAGTTAAATAACTTTTTAGGGACTTTTTCACATTGGATCTTACTTTTGACTTTGGATAGCTGTGCTGTGCTGTGTTCTTTGCTGTGTTGCTATTTTTTTTTTAACAAAAATTCTTTTGTTGCTTCATTCAGAGTTTATTCATCATCAAATAATATACTCATATAATGCCCTTTTATGCATAAGCCACCCAATTGTGTGCTAGCAAAGTCCCCTAACCATGCCAACGACGACATCACTACAAGAAATATAGGTTCCTATACTAATTTTACGACGCTTTTAAAGCGTCATAAACTTACAGCGACGGCCGCGTCCTCGACGTTTGGTAGTAAGCGTCACTAAAGGAATTAACGGCGTTTTTCAGACATATAGCGGCGTTTTTGAAACGCCGCTAAAAGTCATTTTCCCAGCAGTGCATGGTGTCCTTGTTGAGCGTCTTGAACAACCACAAGGTTATGCACACCTCTACTAGATCGAGGATCAGTCATGCTAATGGTGAAGCATATGTGCTAAAGTCCACCACAGGCCATTGTGCACCCATAATATTGCACTAATGTGCCACTTGAGTAAAACATCCTTGGTTCTTTGCTTGATAATAGCATCCTTTACCTGTCATTTGATTGCCTACAAGTTCGATGTTGCCTCCTTGGTGCGCAAGGCCGAACCCAAAAATCCCAAAAAAGTTAGCACTCGAGGCTGGTTGTGGCGCCTCTCAGCCTTAGTGTAAAAATAAATTGATAGAGAGATGTAAAATAAATTGATAGAGAGAGAATAAATTGTATGTATTATTGATTGTTGTATCTTGATTGATTTTTATTGATATCTATTACAATGATTCATGATTCCTATATATAGAAGAGGGTGAGTGTGTAGTAGGTAAGAAGTAGGTGAAGTGGAGGTGGTAGTGGTGTAGTGGGTTAGGTTTAGTGGAGTAGGTGAGGTGGTAGTGGTGTAGTGGGTTAGGTTTAGTGGAGTAGGTTTAAGTGGGTGAAGTAGGTGGAGAGTAGGTGGATTTTAACACTTAGGACATTCCCAAGAGGGTAACATGAGGTATAGTGGGTATGTGTCTTGAGCCTGCGTCACAGGTAGAATGCGTAGTGTTTTGGGTTGCCTACTTTGCCAGACTGCATGGTTTGGCAGTTCCAGTCTTCATTGGTTTCCAACTATGCAACTCTGGTCCTCTTGAGTTGGTTTCTAATTTTTTTTCATGAGTAAAAAGAGTATATCCAAATATTTATTTTTTGAGATGGCCTGGTAATCAATAATGGGTTATTTTGTCATTTCATGCATATTTTTTTCCCGGGGATAATGGTAATATAAAATACTTGGAATTTGTTTTTTAGGGAAGTGTCGGAACAGAAAGACATTGTGCAAAAGAATGGACAGGCAGCAGGATGACGCAACAGAGAGGTGATACTCGTCAGATGCTTAATTAGTTATTCCCTATAATTTGTAAGATCTTTGTTGGAATGAGGGTAATTGGAGAGGGATTCCTATTTATATAGTATAATGCGAAATCAGGTTATTTATATCCTTTTTTCCTTGCCTGATGTTTGATTATATCTATCTATCTTCTGTCAATCTGTCTATCTTCTATCAATCTATGTATGCTATTAATATGTGAATGCTGGTGGTGGTGTTGTTGACACAAATGGTGTGGACCATATGCATTTTATAACTAAAGAAGAAAATTATATAATTTTATATTTTTTGAGTCATGTTTAAAATAAAATAAAAAAGTTATAATCAAACATTACATGAGGCATAATTAAATATATTATGAGTCATAACTAAAGAATATGACATAAGTAAGAGTGTGTATTAGAATTTTTCATTTTAAAAAATGTATTGCTTTTCTACTGTCAATGAGATATAATTTTGTGTGTTAAAGCTTGATGAGTTTTGATATTGTTTTAGTTTTAGATTTTTATATAAAAAAAATTCAATTATTATTTTTAATTCCACTTTAGTTAGTGATGGTTGTGTGTGTGATGGTTTTCCATAGATTGAATTTGCCATCAAAAACAACTTTACATGAATGTTGATGACAACAGGACCAGAAGGACTTTAATTTAAGAATAACATAAAATATTGTGATATAAGAGACTAATACATATTTCTAAGAATATAATTATTATTAATAATAATAATTAAAATTGATAATGTTTTTGACGTTCATTTTGATGATTATGAAGTGCGTATGGATTATAATAAAAATATACAATAATAAAACATTCATGTAACCACTACAACAAAAAACATTATTGGCGACTAAAATGGGAATTTTCGTCGCTGAAAGTCGTAGAATTGGCGACTAATTCCATTTTAGTCGCCAAAAATTGGTCACTTTTGCCGACTAAAAGAGTTTAGTCGCCGAATGCAATGGTTTTAGCGACTAAAAGGCAGTTTAGTCGCCAAATATAGGGGTTTTAGTGACAAAAAATTTTTTAGTAGCCAAAGGTTAGGGTTTTTGGCGACTAAAACCATTTGGTAGCCAAACGTTAAGGTTTTGGCGACTAAAAACCACTTTGGTCGCTGATTGTACATGTTTTGGCGACTAAAAACAGTTTGGTCGCTGAAGGTCAAGCTTTTTGGCTACTAAAAAAAAATTAGTTGCTAAAAATAGGTTTATGGCGACTAAAATTCACTTTAGTAGCCAAAGGGGGAGGTTTTTGGCGACTAAAAACAGGTTTAGTCACCAAAAGGGTAGGTTTTTAGGCGGAATAGTTTTCTTTAGCGACGGAAAATTAATTAGTAGCCCAAAAATAATAGAATTGGCGACTAAATAATTTTTTTAGTCGCTAAAAGTGATCTAAATTTTTTTTAATAAATAATTTATTTTTTACATAAATTGTATTGAATATATATAATTACATTTATATATATAGTTTTGTATTAATACTGGTGAAAGTAATATATAAATAATATAAGTTGCAACTATAGTCATGAGATGGTTTAGTGGCATAGTGGGGTGGAGTGTGTGGTTAAGGTTTGGAACCACCTGGAGGTCCGGGTTCGAAGCGTGGGAGGTTTGAGGCACAAAGGGAAATTTTTTTTTTTTTTCAAAAATGCTTTTGGCGACTGAACACTGTGGTCGCCAAAAGATTGAGCATTGCCGACAAAAAAAATAGTCGCAAAATGTATAAATAATAAACAAATTAATTCACTATTGGCGACTAATAGTTTAGTCGCCAAAGGTATAATTTCCAAAAATGGAATTGACTATTAGCGACTAAAACCTTAGTCGCTGAAGACCTGTGTATTGCCGACTAAAAGTTTTTTAGTCGCCAAAGGTATTGGCGACCGTCTCTTCACGACAAACCCAGAGACTAAAAGATTTTGTCGGGGAAAGTGGAAATTTGACATTTGGCGACTAAAATGGGACTTTTGGCGACTAAAAGTTTAGTCGCTAAAGGTGTATTTTCTTGTAGTGAACCTTTGTTTTATTGTGTAAAATACCGTAATTGCAATTTGTGTGTGTGTGTGTGTGTGTTTGGCTCTCTTTTTCAAAATGTGTTTTTTAAGATTTCAACATAAAATGTAGTATAAAAATGTCAGTATAAGAAAGCCAAGGTATGGTTGTATTAACTTTTTGGGTAAATTACATTGACACCCATTGAGGTTTGATTCAAATATATCTCTCTTGACATTCTAAAAATTATATTATCACCCGTATGGCTAATAGTCTCATTTTACAAACTCCATTACTTATATAAAAGATAACAACTCCTAAAAGAAAAATAAAAAAAGTTACATTGAAAGAAAAAGTAAAGAAAAGGAAAAGAAAAAAAGAAAAAGAAAAAAGAAGAGGAAGTAAAGCAAAGTAAGAAAAGAGAGCGTGTATGAGTTCAATATTTTCATTCTGTTTAAATAATTATAATGACAGAGAGATTAGTGTAATTTTTCAAATATCAAGAGGTGATATATATCTTAAACTCAAACCTCACAAGTATAAGTGTAATTTACCCAATTTTTTTTTTTTTTTTCCATACAACTAAAACAAGTGTAAAACAAAAATTTTAGGAAAATGTCAAACTATTAAGAATTGTTTTTTTAGCAACATGACATAACATCAGTAAGGAAATGTTATGGCCTTCACCCTTTTAGCAGTACATATTATATACATCTTATTATAAAATATTATATATATATATTAAAAGTAATATTTTTCTTTATTTAAGTGTCACATTTTAAAGATGAGAATTTTTTTTAGGGTCCCTAATATTAAAATTTTATAACATAAAGGACATCAAATATTTACATAATGTTTAAGGTTCCTCAAATTCGATCCAGAGAATTTTCCTAGAGAGAATTTCTCTGAACTTCTAAAAGAATTTCTCTGTTCAACTTTGCTTAACTCTTCTAAAACCCATACCCACATCACCTCCTCTCATTCGCTCTCCTTGTTTCTTCTTTATCTTCACACGAGCTTGCCCAATATAGCTCACCTTGGGAGACGAAGGCTCGCCTGGGTTTTCGAATGCACAGCCTCGCTTTTTGTCGGAGGTGGGGAACATCGGAGATTGACCCCCTCGAGGCTTGCGTTGGTTTTGAGTCTGCGGCTGAGAGAGGTGGAGAGAGAGATGGGTGTGCTTTTGCCTCTACATGGATTTAGGATTGACTTAGAGGAGATCTTCGTTGATGAAGATGAAGAAGAAGAAGATGAAGAGGTCTCTCTTTATCAGTTTCTGGTAATGTCAGTGCAATGAGGTGTCTTCGATAAATCCATCATTGTGCTGTTTTAGCCATCAATTATCGCAAAATGACAATGAATTTTCTTAGTGAAGAGAGAGAGAGAGAGAGAGAAATAAGGTTTGATTTGAGAGACTTAAATTTCTCTGTGACATATAGGTGTGTGGTTGAGGGACCTTAGACATCAGAAAATAATATTGTAAATCTCTTCCATTACTAAAAATAGGAGAAAGACCCTAGACTAATTTTGCCTTAAAAGATTTACTTTTTTCTTCAAAATTCACATCATCATGCATTTTCCATTTACATATAAAATTTTACACACTCAATTTCAATTATTACAACCAATTTTATATGGACTCTATTTGAGAAATAATTATTTTTCATATATATATAATTATAATTTAATTATTATGATATTTAAAAAATTTATCTCGATATACAAATATACAAATAAATAAATAAGACAAATTGTACTTAATTATGTACATCGCACGAATAAATTAATTTTCTTTTATATTTTTTAATTTTTTGTCTATCTTATTGATGTCTTAATTTCAATGTATATTTATATAATAATGCAAAACGGATTTTGAAAATATGTAAAATGTATCAGAGATACATTTGACTTTAATGGTTTAAATCAATCCTAAATATATATCAATGATTCAGATCAATCCTCTCAAATTCAACAAACACTTAGTTCCCACCCAAACATTGTTCTCTCTCTCACATGTCTCTAAAAAGCCGCCCACCTACCCTCTCTCTTTCTCTTCCCCCTCATCCTTGATTTTAAACTCTCTTCCTCTCCTCATCCTTGATTTTAAACTTTCTTCCTTATACTGTCACACAAACCTTCTCCATCTCTCTGTCCAGCTCTCTGGTTTCGGTTTTGGATAGTTTTGGTTGTGCAACCTCCAGCAAATGGGTTTCTATTTCACTCTTCAAATGGGTTTCTATCTCTATTGAATAAATTGTCTCTAACCTATTGAAATGGGTTTTGATAAATTATCTCCATTGAAATGGGTTTTGATTTCTCTTGAATATATTGTTTACAATTAGAAATTAACTGTTGATCTCCATTCTCCGGAAGATGATGTCGCAATGCAGACGCTGAAGGTTTTGGTTCTCTGTTGAGGCTGAAGAGCTCGCCGGAGTAGTGGCGGCAAAAAAAGGAAGGAAATGAAGAAGGGGAGGAACCCTCTAGAACACCGATAATGGAGCTGAGGCTAAGAGCTCGGCGGAGTAGTGGCGACGAAGAAGAAATGAGATAGAGAAGGGGAGGAACCCTCTAGAACACCGGTAATGGAGATTTTTCTCACTCCTCCTATTAGTCCAGCACCACCTCCTAATAGCTCTTGAATCATTTTTTTTTTGTTTTGATCTACAACAATCCAAATATGTATATATATCAATACATATTTGTGTGACTGTCACTCTCTCTCTCTCTCTCTCTCTCTCTCTGTGTTGTGCAGTTTCAGTTGTTCACGGCTTCTGACTAGAAAATGTCCTTTGGTTTCTCTCTCTGCAAATCAAGTAGGTTTTGTTGTGGGCTTTGGGGCAAAATCTGTAGGGGAGTTATGTATATATATATACTAGCGTATGTCCGTGCCTGAAAGCACGGTGTAAATAATGTTGTGATCAAAATACAGTTGTGACTCATACGTATCATAAAGTCTGTAATATTTTTTGACAAAAATATTGAAAAAATAATTTTTTTAAAAATACTATTCTTTTTAAAAAATTGTAACAATCTGTCTTAAGGACAGAGTGTCACACACTCAACTTGGTCTTTAATTTTTTCATTTGGTTCGATAAAATAAATTATGTAAGTTATTTATTTTATTTATTTGATTTTGTTT